TCCACTCTCTATCTCTACCTCTCTACCCCCCTCTTATCACCCCGACCACCACTATCACCCTTAGCACTCTCTTCCACTCTGTATCACCCTCCATCATCATTATCAGATTAATCAGAGCTGTACAGGCTGCAGAGCCAGCTGTTCAATCCCATCTGAATTCAAAGAAGTGCACATGACATCACATGAGATCATATTACAGAGCATTTGGCAAAATGAACATAGAGAAGAGTATAAGGAATGTAAATACTGTAGAGAATGTATGAAAGAAGCAGAATGAAAAAAAGAATGAGGATTTGAAAATTGATCTGAGCTGTATGAGTCAGAGCATTCAAATATTTTTGATAGAATACACATGTCACATTACAGTGTTTTTTGCATGGAAAAGTTAGTTTTTCTATAATAAATAGAGTATATTAATGAATGTATAAGGTTGTAATGAATGTAAAGAAGAGTATAAAGAATGTAAATATAGTAGAGAACATCTGTAAAGAAAAGAATGAAGATTAATATCAGAGTTATACAGGCTGCAGAGCCTGTTCATGGATTTGATGGGGTGCACATGATATCATGTGAGGTCATGTTACAGGGCATTTTACTCAGAAAAGTTGGTTTAGAGACTAGAATTTACAACCATCCTGCGCCCAACCGATAAATCATAGTTTTCTTTCAGTACCCCAATAACCACTTTACCTCTTGTCCCCTTACTTTAGTTCTTTACACTTAGAAAAGAAGTGTTTGCAAGCAGTGCCTGCAGGTGACTAAACATCGCTCAGTTGATTGCTGGCTAATGATCAAGGAACGGAGAATATGTGGTGATGTAACTGAGAAAGCCATGTTGTCCATTCCGCTGGAAGAAGCCCGGATCGAGTCGATTCCCGAAAGTGCGTATTATATTCCTGACTTTATAACACAGGATGAAGAAGAGCGGTTGCTTCAAAAGGTAAACAAACTTTCTTTCATATCTAGTCTGTTTTCAAGCCTCCCAGTGATGTTCTCTTAGCTTCCAGCCGACAAGCGAAAGAAAATGTTTGCTTAAATGCGTAAATAAAGCTCTTTAGTGAGGGCCTCTACTGGCGACATTCCTTAGGGTCTTAAAGTATCTGTATTATGTATCGGCACCGTTATTTCATATCTATTGTGACAATAAAATATACACTGGCAGTAACAGGACTAACAACTGTGAAGATCATATCTGTTCCCATTCCGCGCTGGACACATCTTTCCCGGCGACGTCTTCAAACATGGCCATGCGCATTGAGCAGGTCCAACACACTCCTAGCCTCTGCCCTCCCACAATGGCTGATTTCGCCTATTATTTCCCGTTTTACGGAGCTTGGAATATTTAGAGATTCACCCCACAAGGCCGCTAATCATGTTCTCATTAACGAGTACCAGCCTGGCCAAGGCATCATGCCTCACGAAGACGGAGCTGCCTACTATCCAGTAGTGGCAACTGTGAGCTTGGGAGCGCCGATAGTGTTGGAGATGAGTGAGAAAACAGCCAAACGCGAGCACAAGGGGCTTGAAGTGTCTGAGCAAACAACAGCATCGCAGCTTAGAATATTGCAAGAAAGACGAAGTTTGTTGGTGACGACAGGGAAATTGTACACGGATTACTTGCATGGCATTGAAGAGCGGATGATAGATGCGGATTTGAATTCAGAAACTATTTGTAACTGGGAATTGCTGGGGGATAAAGAAGCGTTTGCCGCTGGCAGTTATGCAAGGGAGACTAGAATAAGCCTAACGTATCGAGACGTGCTTAAAGTCTCGAAGTTGGGCAATAGCATGAATTTTTTTGGTAGCAAATAATAACCAGCAAGGACATCCTTTTAAGTTTAAAAAAATTTGAGTTTAACGTAGCTTTCTGTTCTGAATAAATGACTTGTCTAGTTTCTATTCGTAAAAACTAGTAGGTGACCAAAAGCTCTACGCTCGTGGAGGATAGACTCTATGGAAGTATATATTCGGGTTTCGTAGTCAGAATCTAATACAAATAGGGTATCATTCTCCACCTCTGCTCAACCTTTTCTTTACCAAATTTCTTCATATACCACGCCTTGGTATTGTCAGCTGAAATACCCAAATTAATAACGACGAAGACCAGCCCCGACAATACTGTGTTATTGACTAGTGTTCCCTTTGGCGCGGCTAGGAAAACGAGCGACAAGTATATAGCACACTCGGCCGTGTAATGGGGAGAAACGAGGTGGAGGAAGCCTGGGTGAGAGGGAAGGGTGTATTTTTTCAACGAAGCAAGGTAAAGATGGCAATCATGCTGGATTCCAGAAGCAAGAATAAACACGGGAAGAAATATGAGTGTCTTCAATGATGGTGCGGAATATCGTACGTCGCTCAGCAAGTTATCAGATGCTCGTATCACGGCTAGATGATTGAAATTCAGTTAAATGGGCGAACAGTAGGGTGAGAAATGGATGTATTAATCTGCACATACGTATTCCCTCGACCCAAATAGCCATACCCATTGCAACATAGTATGCTAACCCTACGATCCAATGTGGGAACCACATTTTCGATTGGGATGGTTTCGCCGTCGAAATAGATTCGTATAGTCGACGGGTACCCTGAATCAATAGCAGTGTCCAGCACAGAACTATTTGATTGCGTGACATGGATGTTTGAGCGTTATCATCCCTCACAGTCGAGGATACAGCTTTGAACAACGGCCCTTTGAAATAGATTTGAGTTCCCCATAGAATTGAGGATAGCACCGATACCACATAAAACTGGGTAAAGAAGCTATGGGGTACCTGCAACGATGCTAGGTAGTCCAAAACTTTCATGCTCCATGACCAAGAGGGTCGCTGCGACACTGTGTGGTAACCTTGCTCCGAGTTCTGTGGAGGCTTAATCGATCCCAAAGATGTGGCTCGTGGGCCATAAGCAATGAAACGAGAGCGAACAAAAGGGGCACTGTTCGCAAGAAGAATCTAGGGATCAATCAGTCAACCCCGTCGACGGGCAATGCTGTTGATACCGTACAGGGGTTCCTACCGTGCAAGCCGTAATCAAAAAGAAGCCCCGAAGAAGGTGGAGAACATCGATTGTTTGAAGGAGCGAGTATGTCCACTGAAAGAATTCCATACTCGTCCTAGAAAGAATTCCCTCGCTCATATTAGTAGCTTTAGCCAATGACCACCGTGGTTGTTAATAAGTGTATCGAGATCTTAGCGTTCTACCATGGACTGTGATGCGGAGCTGTTCCGCTCCTGTCCAATGACTTTTGCAACGTGAATATTAGATTTGTGCTCGAAACTATATATTATCTGAGTATGTCCCTTCGTCGACGTCTTTTCATGGATCAATTCATTATATCAATCGTCAGTATATAAAAATGAAAAGGATGACTAATCTCACTACTATAGTGCCCGCGCCGAACCTCGCAGGAAGCAGAAAACTTGACCTCGCTAAGTGCGCCACTTGACCTCGTTATGTAAGCTGACCTCGCCTCGCACAAAATATGTTGGGGGTCCCGCGGTTGGTCGGCCCTTCTACCAGCAGGCGCTGGTGGTGATTGAGCTCTTTTGCCCCAGTAGCCTACAGATTATGAGACTGTTGAGTGTGAGCCCTGCTGTGATCAACATGCATGGGTTCAATCCCAGAATGGACTTAAAAATTCCTAACAAATATCCTTGGACATTTTAACAGTGTCAAGAGACATTCCAGAAGTGTGCCCTAGAAGTCCCGTGAGCCCTAGAACTGACTGAGTCCATTATTAAAAGAAGCCATTGTGAGGAGGCCACTGAAGAGAGTCACTGAGAGGAAGTATTGTACTCTGTGATAGCTGGTCTGAGGGGGGGTGTTGAGGGTCCCATGGTTGGTCGGCCCTTCTACCAGCAGGCGCTGGTGGTGATTGAGCTCTTTTGCCCCAGTAGCCTACACAATACAGTAACCGTGCCATGCTTACTCACTCTCTGTAGTGAGTGCGCCACAGCGTACGGAAAACCACACTGTAAAGAAAATATTTTAAATATAGTAATCTTCAAAAATTAATTAATAATCATCATCACATCTATCTATAACATAAAGATTATCTATATACTCATTAGAAGGTGTAGAATTCACTGTAAGTTGAGATTTTATAGAATTATCTTATTATGATTGAGTAACTGTAGATTTTATAGATTTGATTTCAATCAATTGAAGAGTCTTATTAAATATCTTTTTCATCTCATCTGCTCTA